GTACCAGTTACTCGACTCCACCGAGTCAGTATTTCTTGGGGAGATGTATATATAGCTTTTACAACGAATTTCCAGAAAATATACAAAATTTGACCGGCTCAAAGTCCAAAAACTTTATTAAACTAAGTTTATTAGAAAAGGGTTATCACAATATTAAGGAATTTATGGATAATAACCCCTGGGAATGAGGTGATCGCTATCATACGCGAACACTACACATTTAAATAAAACTAATTTTTCGGATTTTATTTATATTCCCGACGTTTCAAGCACTTTACAGCACCCATGGTCACGGAGGGGATTGAGGTGCATGACGTCCCAATGTCATAGTTAACCACGGCTACCTCCAGATTAAAAACCAGTGCTTGAAACATCGGGAATATAAAATAAGTTAATATACGCGATAAAATCCGTAATATTAGTTTTATTTAAATGTAAGCTGTTATTTTTAAAAAAAAAGTGCCGCTGGGTTTCTTGCTGATTCTTCCCAGGATAAAGGCTTTTTTTCAAACCAGTGGTAATTAAACAAAAGAGTGTCTTTCAATAAATATTATTTATGATCTATATTGAATAAAAAACTATCTGTTTCTGCTTCTGTTTCTGGTCTTCGATTTTTTACACTCACAATATGAAATACAGTAGCATTGCTGTTATTTTACGCTGGTATTCTGTGAGAAAGTGGTCTCTCCTCGGTCGAGGATATGCTGGTTTCCTCACGATATTTCCACCGCTGGACACGTGGTAAATCGCACTAAAATTCTAATTAAAAATTCGTTACTTCCCTATAAGTATATGTAATAATACAATCAATTTTATTACGTTACCTATTAAATGTATGGTACATATTAAATTTTTATTATAGAAAAGGATGATAAGAGAGCACATAATCTTCTTGATGGTAAGTGAATGCAGAACCTATGAACACCTACCTACAGGATTGATCACGATGAATTAAATTGTAAATGCGTTGTTACAACTGAAGACTAATATGGGATGCCTCATTACCATTAAAAATGGTGTCCGGTTCTCCTTACACTAAATACAGTAGCTGTGGTCTTTTTCAAGGACTAAGCCTAAACCTAGTAAACATTGTCACATAGTACCACATGCTTTTTTACGTGGTAGAGCCATGCTGCAGCTATATTAGTAGTATAGTTGTAGGACGAATGGGTCGGCTCGACTGGGGAAGGACTGCGCTCTCACAGAATACCAGCGTAAAATAGCAGCTTAACGCTGCTGTGTTTCGTATGGTGAGTGTAGAGAACCGGAGACCCTTTTTACTGGAAATGAGGCATTCCATCTTAGTCCTCACGGGTCACAACGCATCTGCATTTTGATTTGTAATAGAGGATAGATGTAGATGTCTATGGGCCGCAACAACCATTTACTATCAGGTGGACTGTGTGCTCGTTTGTCACCCTTATCCTATAAAAAAATGCTCAAAAGTCCGGGCACAGCTCCTATACCTGTTAGGTGTCATATCTCTACGATTCAAGGTATTCGGATAGTATGGTTTTAAGGAGGATGTCTGCGTGGGTATATGTATACGTATTTTGTACATACACATGTACACATACATATATATTTTCACTTCGTATATTAATTTGAAAACCATTAACAATACCGAGGTTGGACTGGCTTCTTTTGATGCGCAATTATGTAATAATTAGAACTGGATTAGTTTTTTTTGATATGAAAAGAGTCTAGCAGTTTTGTTTTGATTAAATAAACTGAATATTATTGTAATAATATTGTAGAAATATGTAATGGTAAGTATTCCTATTTCCCTAATTCAAATCCAAGGATCCTTTCTTACTCCTTCTACTAGGATATTTAGTTAGTAGATGTCCCGCTTCCCATCTGTTTTTATTTATGCCAGTTTCCAAATAGATTTTTATTGTCCTTTTTCTTAAATTATGTTTTCAACCGACTTCGAAAAGGATTTCATCCAGATCTGACGAGTAGTTTTTGAGTTATCCGTAATAATTTATATTGAAGTCGGTTGTACCTGGGACAAATAGTCCGACTAGGTAAGTCCAACTTCGACCGAGAGGTCAATCGACAGATTCAACTCGGCTGGGCAGCGTTCGGGAAGCTACGACACATCTTCTCGTCAGACATACCTCAAAACCTTAAAACGAAATTGTACAACCAGTGCGTGTTGCCAGTGATGACTTACGGAACTGAGACGTGGTCCTTCACTGCTGGCCGTATGAGAAAGCTCAAGGTCGCTCAGCGAGCTATGGAGAGGGCTATGCTCGGAGTTTCTCTGCGTGATAAACTTAGGAATGAGGATATCCGCAGTAGAACCAGAGTAACCGACATAGCCCAACGGATTAGTAAGCTGAAGTGGCAGTGGGCCGGCCATATAGCTCGAAGAACCGACAACCGATGGGGAAGAAAAATTCTCGAGTGGCGGCCTCGTACCGGTAGGTGAAGTGTAGGGCGTCCCCCCACGAGATGGAGTGACGACCTGGTAAGACATGCAGGAAGTCAATGGATGCAAGTGGCTCAGGACCGTGTTTTGTGGCATTTTTTGGGGGAGGCCTATGTTCAGCAGTGGACTTGTGAAGGGCTGTAATGATGATGATGAAGTCGGTTGTACAAAATTTTTAATTTTACCACTTGACCTTTTGTACTAATTAAGAACTTGGCAATTCTAGCACATTATTTACCTTTTATACATTTATTTTGGAATAGCGACAAAAATTCACCTGTTTTGTTTAACGCGTGCTGCACGTTCTCGAACGTCAGGTCATTGCTTTCTGATCACAGGTGCTCATCTTATCTAAGCACTTTGCTCGATATCAAATGCATTATTCATACCATCGACATCTAGTCTGTATTGTTACCCTTTGTTCACCGCATAACATTGTTTCGTGTTGTTTGTGGTTTTAGTTTTATAGCCAATAAAAATAAAATTTTAATTAGGTACAAAATTGTCACTCGAAAAACTTAACTATTTATTTATATTATTGTATTAGGCGCATTAAAAGCTAGTTAATGCGTATATTATTAATTCCAAATTTAGAAATATTTGAAATATAATGGTGTCAATAAATTAATGAAGCTTAATATAGAGCTTCACATATTGTTATTTTTTTAATTTTATTTCAAATATATTTACGATTTGCTCTCAATAACTACTTTATGGATAACATTTTTATAGATCTCAAATACCGATACCGTGTCCGACAGGTATTAACACTAGAAAATAAATAAAGAGAACAATAAAAAGGTGTTTTGTATGTTTAGTAATAGTACGTATTTTCTTTTGATGGCTTATCTTTTATTATATATAAGGTTTCAAGTCTATATATTATAAATAATATATAGACTTGAAACCTTTGTTAGTAAGCAATACATACGGTACTTTATTGGTACGCAATATGTTTAAAATCCTTTTCATTGTATACTATTGAGCTTAGCGTCATATAAGCAAAAATAGTTAAATAGTAGTAAAAAATTGTTTGAAACGTAAAATAATGTATATTACAGCGGCCAAACCCGATTTCAGGCCAAACTAATTTGTCCTAGGCGAAATCGTTATATCCTATGCGTGTTCTTGGCTTAACCAGTATATTCTGACATGCGTAGGATTAATTGATTTGGCCTAGAACAAACTACTTTGGCCTGAAATCAGGTTTGGCCGATAATATATATATGCAACGGTAGAGCAGTGGATTTATACGAAATAAAAGTAGCAAAAACAAGAATTCATATAAAATGTACATTTATACACAATTTTTTTTAATCAATTGAAAAGTTTTTATTGCTATATCTTTAAACGATTTAAGTGTTATAGAACTATTTCTTTCTGCTTGATGCGTCTTATTCATGGGCGTCTGTATTTATAGGTTAAGGAAAAATATTCTTCGTAATACTTTTAAGCCAATTTTTATAATATAATAATATTTTAATTATAATCAATGACGTGCCGTTTTGCTACATTACTTTTTTGTATCTACAATATGCTATATTATTCATATTGTGTCACATCCTTGTCCTTAACAAAGTATTTTCAGCTAAGCTCAATCAACCGTCAATTTTAAATCATTTCTCTAAAGCATCCTGTTTTACATCATTATTTACTAAGTAGCATATTGGACGTAAATTATTATTTTTTAATTTATTTATTATAAGCATGTGCTCAATTACAATTCGCTGCTAGGTGGCATTTAACAACACCGGCTGAATGTGGGAGCACCACTGGACTTGCGCTTTATACGGGGTTATTTTTCAAAGAGTAGTTAAATTTTAAAATAAAGTTCAAATATATAAATAATTATATACCGTTATTCCAGTTTTTGAAAATACGAATAAATTAGGCTTCTACTTTTATTTGAAATTATCCCAAATTAAATCTGATTTATAGGCAACAACGTTTTTGCTACCGATCTACCCTTACGAACGTGTGCGTGTGCAGTAAAATCAGTTAAAATGATACATTAAGACGCATTTTGAATTTAAAAGATAAAAAGGTCAGAATTATTGAGATTTTTTTTCAATTAATTTTTCTTCCCTTTTTGCTTATTTTACTTATTCTGAACCTGGTCTGCAAATTTGGCCGTTTATTGCAAAATAACCCTGTATAGAGTTAAAAGTTGTCCAGGCGTAAAGTACCGCCGCACCCTTGCAAGGTCACTTAGTTTCCTTGCGTCTGATTTGAATCTGGATCAATGAACCTACCAAAGGATTCGGAGAAATTTCAACCCCCTAACAACTGAAGGTGGGGCTTTTCAGTTGTTAGGGTGTTGAAATTTCTTCCAAAGTCCGGTGGGGTTTTTGGGGTGAAGAGACACGCTCGTGTTTTGGAGGCTTTGAATACCACAAAACTATACTTTATTTATAACAGCTTTGGATATACATTGAAAAATGTATATTAACTATATATTGAAGGATAAATATTTAAAGAAATATACATTCTCATTAAATAATGAAAGTTTTATTGTGGTCTTTGATATGAAAACCTTACTTAGTTAAAAATTTCCACTTTGTAGATGCCATGGGAGTCTTCAGAGGAGCAGATGGGTGCACCAAGACAGATGCGTATTCACGTTCAGCGTGTATTCGCTATCCCGGCCCCACACAACATGCCACCACCACCTGCACCAGAAGTCATGGGGGCCTTCGCACCACCACCTCCACCACCACAACAACAACCCCGCGAACAGAATGAGGTAGGTTCATTTTTTTTTCATTTTGATTTTGTTCATTTTTTCAACACTTGATTTTTAAACGTACTCGTATATCACGGTTACTTCCTATAGATAATAATTGATCATGCAACTATTTCTGCAATTGATCTTTTATTTTTTTATTTGTATTATTTTAATTTTTAATCTCAACATGTGGGTTTCCTAGCAATGAAGGAAATCCATGTTCATTGATTAAAATAACAAATGAACACTTATGATTGCGATTAGTTTAGTGGCACCGGAGATAAAATAGATTGGAACAAATTTAATTGTGCTTAAAAATTAATAAACGCTTTTCAAAACTCTTTCAATAGGTTTGTAACCCCTCCATTGCACTTCCGCAGACTCGAAACAAGTTCAATCCTAAGTTGCAGACTAATTGCAAGACTATATTTTAGGTGCTGCTAATCCCAATAGTTTTTATTTAATATTGTACCCCATATGTCATTAAAACAATAAAAAATGTGTTGAAAACTAAAATTTTTTACAGGGGTTTTACAGGTGTCCCTCTACACTCTCTTCTACTCCTTCGTTTCCACACCATTTCACATAGCAGAATACTGAAATTAAAAAACTATTTGTTTGTTAATGACACTGCGCTGGTTTTCGTCTACCGCATAAGTGCATCTAAATGTCTACTAGAATCATGATATACATAACAGGCACAGTAAAAATAAAACCGATTATCTTGTTAATATATGAATCAATGCATAATAATACAACGCAAAATTCAATTTACCTCAAAGAATAAGCCAGTAAAAAAGTAGTTCGTCGAAAACACACATACGTGTATGTACATTAAAAATTCTTGGACTTGGTTTTATTTTTTCGTTTAGATAATATTGAAAATTATTGTACGCTCGACTGTATTTTACGCGCCCGGACTGAAAATGTTTGTTCTAGTGCGAAAATGGGTGAACATTTACGCATGTTTCGTAGCGCGTGTTCGTGGTAGCGCGCAGTAGTGCGTCTCAATGTGAAGCGTAAAAGCGTATACATATATGTAACTTTTTTTTCTTTAGAAATGTACTCGCTTTTGCCAGTGTCTATTATGAAGAAATTATCTTTTAAAATAACGTCACCATCGGATCACTTGTTTCATCGTTACCACTAATAGTTCACATGTGTAGACATTTAATACACAAAACGCAACCGTTTGACGTATCATTATCTACTTTTAATCCACCAATAATACAGGAACCGCAATACGCAGGCGGTTAAGTTTCCGAAAAACTCTCGTTTTTTAGAAATATTGTGGATTATAGTCTGACTTCATAAGTATTATATATAAATAAGTCAGGGTCAGCCGGCACACATCCTTCGTATACTTGTAACGTGTTTTTAATAACACCTATGTTTACAAACTATTGCTCTTGTCTTTTTATAGCAATGTATAAGGAGGACTTCTTTTGTTTTTAACTATTATATTAAATGTTGCAGATTATCTTTAAAAACTTGTCATTGTCATATAAAATTATCTTTAAAGGTTTTATTTGTCGATTTTATAGATATTTAGAGAATTTTGTTTTAGAGATTATTTGTTAGAATTTACTATAGTAATGATTTCTTTTGTTTACGCGAACAAAGAACATTTAAGTGAAACTAATTTTTACGGATTTTATCGCGTACAATAACTTATTTTGTATTCCCGACGTTTTCAGCACCCAGTTACATCACTCAGCACCCCCCCCCCCCCCCTGACTATGGGTGCTGTAAAGTATTCAAAGCGTAGGGAATATAAAATAAGTTAATATATACGATAAATCCGTATAAATTAGTTTCATTTACTATAGTACTTTATGATTGAATATGTGAATTTCTAGTCCTGTTTCACCACACCCAAGAAGACTTGTGATAATTAATTGATTTCCCTGCACGCCATAAAATCTTTTTAATTATTTAATTTAGGTTTTTAGACAATATATTTTTATTTGAATTTTTCATAAGGATAACGCTATTTTAGTGAAATAATACACGCAAGACGAAACGTTGGTAATAACAGCTACAGCTTACTGTGGAATCACTGAAGCGGTCCACCTTTAAAGGTTAAAGAACTCAGTCGCTTGTTAACATTATGATCGGGGTCATATTTGATGTTTGTTTTAAACATTTATTTTTATGTTAATATTAAATGTTTGAAAAGAATCTTTTCACTTAAAATATGATGACAAAGAAAAGAAACTAACGTTGGATGCATTACTGCGACATGGTTTCATTGTGAATAATATATCAAGCAATATATATATATATGTATTATATGCATGCACTTCAATATACGCTAGGCTATGGTGTGGTGTACTTCATTCATGATGTATATTATATATAAAATATAACAATTTAAATAAACTTTCTATCAGTTTAATGGTAATATAAAAATATATTATCAACGAAGTTTAGAAAGCTAATACCGTAAGTAGCTAGGTAACCTAAAATTGTGATTGCAGTGACGATAGTCGAATATTTGTAGGTGTTCAATAATAAATTACATCGATGATGTATTCCTGGCCGAATAATAACAAATGACTTGATTGACTGAGTCTAATGCTAGGCCACAGCGTGAAAAAGTTATAATGCTGCTAAACTGCAAATCGTATGCTACTAATTTGCCACGCACATCATAAAGGAAGCAAAGACCATAATATTTTTTGGCTCGGTAACCTTTGACAACATTTAACATAAAACGGAGTTTCAACATAAAACGATTATTGTATGATATTTATCGAAAAACATGATCTGTTTAAGTTTGTAGTCATACGCACATACATTGGACTATTACTGAATCAACACTACAAATCTTATTTCTACCGTGTTTTGTATATAACTGATTTGTGTATTTAATTATATGAATGATAAATAATTAACATACATTTTTTTATTTATTTCAGCAATCCACCGTCCTCCACCAATTCGTACCTCAACCCGCACCTACGCAGGAACTGGAACAGCCTGAAGGAAGATTTGAAAATGTAATTAGTCGTATTTAAGTTTTACTGTACTGTAATGGATACTAATAATGATAATAATGTCCTCCAGACCAAATTTAGATCACGGCGGGCAGGACAGGATCAATGTGCACAACCACAGCTACATGTGACTGAGGCAATCAATTTCCTAATAATCTATATCTATACAAATAAATAAAATTGAATTGTCTGTTTGTAATGTCAAAATTAGAGCTTTTTACTAAATATATATGAAAGTATATACGGTACTAATAACAAAATACAATTTTTAAACTTTTTGTCTGTCTTTCTGACTGTCTGTCCGTCTGTCTGTCTGTCTGTTTGTTGCGGCGAAACGGCTGGACCGATATTGACGGGATTTTCACTGTCAGATAGCTGATGTCACAAGGAGTAACTTAGGCTACCTACTTTTATTTTAGAAAAATAATTAGGGTTCCGCGCAAAAATTTAAAACCCAGAATAACACGCGGGTGAAGTCGCGGGGAACAGCTAGTTATACATACGGAAGTATATCTGTATACTTTTTTAATGTTATGTTTGTTACCTTTTCATATTTTAAACCGCTGGACTGATTTTAGCAATTTTCCAGCACTATTCTCCGTGTCTGTATCCTGAAGATGATAATAAAATATTTTCAGCGAAGATATGCGTACATAGTATAAAGGCAGATTTATAGCACTGCGTTTCTTTTAATATATTACCTTCTGTAATATTATCTTTAATATAATTAATAGAATCAGGCGTTACTTTGCGGAAATCCATTATATAAAAGCTTTTACAAAAATTTACTTCGCAAATATCCGCGTTATAAAATAAAATGATGTGTCTTACCTAGTATGAAGAAGCACCTCCCGCCCTCCCTCAATTGCGTGCGCTATCTTTAATATAAGATAATTATCTTTAATATAAGATACAGGATTTACATGCATGGCAGTTTGCTTTGTTTTTGCATGTAGTTTATTTGCTTGACTTTTGAATTTTACTAATTATAGTCTGCTCTCTCTAGTCTAGTCTCTCTCAGCGGATTTTGGCAAAAATGATTCATGAGACTATTTTATAAGGCTAAAACGTGGCTTGAATAATAGCTACCGGTTTCCAAAATCTTACTTCTTTTTATAAAAGCATTTCTTTAAAGATTTTATAATGGATTTACTGTTAAGGAAAAATCTTAAATATCTTGTTGATAGTTTATTTTTCTTTTCCTTTCTTATATAAATAATGTTACTCCTACAGTAGGGTTTTCTCTTATATCGTGGAGGCGTATAACGTTGTGTTGATACTTGGGATCTATGCTAAAATAATGAAAACCGTAAATTGTGCTGAGAAGATGACTGAACGAAACAATAAAATTAGTAAAATTTGTTTTATTTATTTTATTGCATTTTGATTAAACATAAGAAATCCTTATATCCTACTACATATTGGTAATTTGATATGGATATATATTCATGAGACGTATGATATTATAATAATAAGTAATAAGAAAGTTTTTTTAATATCCTCACTCGTATCACAATATTACTAAAATGGTGCCACATTTACTAACACAGTCAGAATACGACAATTGAAAAAAGTTGTATGTGGCAGTTATATTCTTTGTAAATTTCAGTTAACAGTTTCTCATTAAAGTAATGTATGCAGTGCATTGACAATAAAATTTCGGCAAATTTTTCTTAGCTGTATGACGTGCGACTTATATTTCATTACTCATCATAACGCAGAATGCTATACAAATATAACTGATAGCATAGCAATAAGTGTTTTAAATTATAATTTACTTTTTTTATAGGATAGGGTGACAAACGAGCACACAGTCACATGATGGTAAGTGGATGTTGTGGTCCATAGACATCTACACCTAAAATGCAAATGACTAAAATGGAATACCTTACTTCCAGTAACAAGGCTCTCTGATTCTCTACACTCACCATACGAAACACTATTTTCGGAATCGCTCGTTTGTCACTCAATATAACATATTAACCATTTTATATTGTATCCAGAAAATGCAGATGGATGGATCTACAGTTCAGATGAACCTGCCATGGGACTTGACTCCCGAAGACTTGCACATAATCCACCGAACTGCTCAGGACGCAGCTGCTAGCCAGCGACGTGACCAGCAAATAGACAATGACATGCAAGAGGTAAATAACTGAATTTTATTTGTTATTATAAAGTAATGGAATTCTTTGACATTCTAGCTAGATTCCTGATACAGTTACTCACATTAAAATCATAATTTATCATTATTTGTTAAGTTACTCTTTTTTAATTAACTGTTTAGCAATTAAGAAAACCAATGAAATCGTTACAGAGCTTCTTTCTGTCATACCCTGAGAAAACTCTTCCTAATAATAACAACAAAAACTGCAGTTGCCAACCTACCTGGCAAGCGTAGCAACTATAGCAAATATAGCAAATATCCTCCTATGAGGCAATCTATTTTGGAGATCTATTTTCAGCAGTGAACTTTTGGTAGACTATAACGAAAACGCTATTTTTAGGGTTCCCTACCTCAAAAGGAAAAACGGAACCCTTATAGGATCACTTTGTTGTCCGTCTGTCTGTCTGTCAAGACCCTTTTTCTCAGGGATGCGTGGAGGTATCAAGCTGAAATTCATATCAAATACTCAAGTCTACTGTCCCTTGGAGCTGTGAAAAAATTAAACTTCTAAGCCAACGCAATCAAAAGATACAGTCGTTTATCAAAACCGGAATTAAAACCTACAGGGTACTTCCCGTGAACTCAGAATCTTAAAATTTGGTACGAAGCAACGTATAATTATATCACAGATAAATATTATATAACAGATAAAGGAAAAATTGAGAAAATCATAAATTTTTAGTTACATTATATAATAAAAATATTTTTAATAATTTTAAACTTATTGTACACGCCCCTAGCTGTCCTGACAAAGGTCAAATATCCCGGGGCCCATCAGGGGTAGATTCGACGGACAACTAAGGGTGGGGCTCGAAATGCCTATGGATAATCAATATAGATGGAATAGGTAATTAATTCGACTTACTTGGTTCAGAAGCGAAGACTGGCCACAAGGCTCGGTCAGGTGGTAGGTGTAGTATATGTAAGTGGTGTTTAGTGGTGTGTAAAATTTGAAACCTGACTTAACCCTTTTAAGCGGCAGCAGCCCTGACTCCGGCACCGCCACACGGTGTGGTATCCTCCAGCGGCGTCATCTCGATGTCACTCAAAGTCTAGCGTCCCTTAGCACAAATCTATAATCTAATACGAACGCTGTTTCTCGCGGGTCACAAAGTTTAGCGTTTTTAACCGACACAGGAAAATATCTCCGAGTTACATCAAATGCCACAAAGCAACTCGTCGACGCAAATTGATATTGTCAAGCACTTCAACTGGCACTCACTATACAATTTAAGTAAATTACTTGCCAACTCGGTGCGCGAGTTCGACTCGCACTTGGGCGGTTTTTTTTTACTAAAGCCATGAGTAACACGATATCTTTTGATTTAGGTGAAAACCATCGTAAATACCTTAGCGGCCGCGGCAGCAGAGGCCGAAGCGGAGGCTGAAGTCCAAGGCCAAGCCGAGGCCGAACGTCGACAGGCTGAAGCCGAGAGGCGTCAAGCCGAGATGGAGCAACGCCAGATCATCCCGCAGGAAGCACCTGCACAGGCACCTCGGGCTCCGCGTACACTGTTACTGCCCCAAGACATAGATGAAAGGCCGCATTGTAAGTATATAATATGTAGTATATTTTTACCACTATTTAGATGGAAGAAAGGGGAACAATCTATTAAAACTAATAATAATTTAGAAAACTCTTGCTTTATATGAACTAATATGGTTTAGTTAGGGTTTGTTTTTACAGTACAAAGGTATAAACATTTGATAGGTACTTATAAAGTTAAGAAGTTAAAGTTACAGCCTATATACGTCCCACTGCTGGGCACAGGCCTCCTCTCATTTCTGGGAGGCCAACACGTATTGGGGCAGCGCGGCGCACACTTCCTTGTCCTAAAACCCTCCTAGTTAATGATTGAACAGAGAAGTTAACTATGAATAAAACATGAAAATAAATTAAATTAGTATAGAAAGTGTAATGTAATTGAGTGTAGAATATTAAGCCACTTTACGTAACATCAAATCATCTACTAGCCAATAAATAAAAACATTATAATATAAAGATTATGTGTAATTTAAATAATTATAGGTCAAGAAAATTTAAATGAATGTTAAACTGTCAAATACTCAGACGCTACTTAATTTGTCTCGTGGTGTCACAGTCACTTTGACTTAAAGTGATAGAGACAGCACTACACTTAACGATATCTTAAAATTGAGATGATTTTTATGCACAAAGCACTTGACAGCTAGCAGTAAGTAAAAACATCTGAAATTTTAGGACATTATTCTCACTGATAAGTTTTAAATTAAACTGTTTTCTTTTTCTGCAGATATGCAACCACGCTCCGTCCGCAGCGTCGATGGGTTACTGCATCGTGAAAAGCGCGTAAAGCGTTGCGACTGTAACTGCGATTAGTGCAGTGTACAGCATGAGCCGATGACATTCGTCGGAACTTTTATATACTTTCTCCGTCCATCCTTAAAATCATTATTAATAAAGTAAATTCCTTATAAGTTTTCCGGTTTTTGGATATTTTTCTGTAAATAATCGTAAATTATAGACCGGTGTTTTTTTTTGTTTAAATGGGACTCTGTACATTGTCGGTTCTTCTAAGTGTATTCTTTATTAATATTATGTTACATACTTAAAGTGTTTTATATAAAATAAAGTTTTAATTTACAAATATCTTTTTAATTGCAATAAATAGAGATATTATATATTATTGTGACGTATTTGACTAAAAAATAAAGGTATACAAATAATTTCAAAAAGGAGATTTGTTGGAATTCCATTAGCATAATAAGCTTCAGAAATTGTCAGAATATATATGTATCTCCATCAATTAGACCGTTTACTATTACAATATTTAAAGTTAAAAAATACAAAACATTACCTAAGCTTGTGATCCTAAATTAAAATATTAGTTTTAATATCCGCTTAGTTTTAATTTTTTTTTCCTTATGTTCTCTGTATTCATTTGTTATATTTTTTTAACTTACACACGTTTTGTTACATTTTTTTCCATAAAATAAACTAGAATAATCCCTTTGCCTAGCTCCTGATGTGCAGATTCGAACTTATTCAAACCACTATAGAAGTCCAAACTAATTGTTATTAGGAACCACCGTAATAGAATCTACTATCCTATATCATTCCGTGTGTCTCGTAAGAGACAATGCAGAAAAATGAAACCGGAGATAGGAATCAGCACCTTCCTTTTTTTCCTGATAATAACTAAAAATAATTAAAAAAATAACCTGGTTATCAACCTGTATGTCAAGCCTGGCAACGATGAGGTAATCTATGATGATTAATTTAAAATAAATTGGATGATTCATTCTAGCTTTACTATTATCTTTTTTTATTTATTTTTCAATTAAATTAGTTGCTTTTAGTTATTCTGGCACTCGTGATGTTATGTTAAAATCGTAATTAGGGACGAATGTTCATAAAATTTAACGACTTTTTTGGATCTCCAAGTTAGTTTTTACTCTTAGCAAATAAATTAAAAAAATAATTGCCACCAATTCTCACACAGTTTTACTATCAGCAAAATTAGTTTAATGCTTAGCTAACTCTAACGTTTATACAACGTGTAACAAAAACCCTGTGGTTCCCGTTAAGTACGTTATCAGAGTCAGTATTCAAACGTAAAGAAATAACTTTTTTCAAAAAACTTGAGCTTTAAAATATTTAATTTTAATTAAAACAATATTTTGAAAATTTTATGTGGTTTTGTTATCTCTGACACAAGCATCGGTGAAGGTAGGTCTTTCACAATCCTCTTATTCTCCGGATAATGCAGAGGTAATAAAACCACATACAACTCGAAAATTATTTTTTAAAATTATTTTTAATTTTTTTTAACGTTCACGTTTTTTGAAAAAAAAAAGTTATATCTTTACGTTTGAATACTGACTCTGATAACGCACTTAACTGGAACCACATGGTTTTTGTTACATGTTGTATTAAAGCAACCTGGCCGAAGGTGTGAATTGAAATTGCATAAAAATATTTATCATTTTACAATCTCTACACCGATGGATCGATGGGGAGATAAAATTATCTTTGGATCCACTTGTGGATCATAATTTTTTATCCAAGTGAACGGAGTGCAATCAAGCGGCTCTACATTTTGAATATATTTAAGTCTGTAAATTTTTGTTGTGATTATTATATCGAACGATATCAATAGATATACAAAACGTAAAGATCAAAGACTCACTCTGTCAGTAGCAGTACTTTTTAAAAGAATAAGGGTGTCAAATGAGCACATAGTTCACCCGACGGTAAGTGGATGCTATGACCATGCAAGTGGGTTGCCACCACTGAGGACTAAGACTAAGGAATAAGTAAAATAAATAACTAAGCAATTCCGCTGGTGTCGCGGTTGTTCATGGGCGGCGGTAACCACTGACCATCAGGTGAGCCGTATGCTCGTTTGCACCCTGTCCTATAAAAAAAAAGATAGTATGCCTTGTTACCAGTATGAAAGAGTCTCCGATTCTCTACTCTCACCATTCGAAACATTTTTCATTTCATTTTTCTGGTGTTTCATGCTAGTATTCTGTATTTGGTATTTAATATGGGGTGGCATTTTTTTTTTATAAAACTGAACTGACAAACGTACAGACAATCCACCTAATGGTTTTTCTGGTGTTTCATGCTATTATTCTGTATTTGGAATTTAATATGGGGTGGCATTTTTTTTATAAAACTGAACTGACAAACGAACAGACAATCCACCTAATGGTTTTTCTGGTGTTTCATGCTAGTATTCTGTATTTGGTATTTAATATGGGGTGGCATTTTTTTTGTATAAAACTGAACTGACAAACGAACAGACAATCCACCTAATGGTAAGTGGTTACTGTAGTCCGTGGACACCTGCAGTCAACATTAAACAAAATGGCTACAGACGCGTTTTCACCTTTGAGGACTAAGATGGAATACCTCACAGCATGTAATTATAATGGCTCTCAATACCTTTCACACCGGACTACATCAGTGCAAGTACTAATATTTAGCGGCAGAAATAAATTTTTATCTGAACACACGAGGACCCGTGGTTTTTTTAATAGGATAGGGTGATAAACGAGCAGTCCACCTGATGGTAAGTGGTTGCCGTGGCCAATAAACATCTACATCTATCCTTTATTACAAATCAAAATTCACATGCGTTGTCACCCGTGTGGACTAAGATGGAATGCCTCGTTTCCAGTAAAAAAGGTCTCCGGTTCTCTACACTCACCATACAAAACACAGCTGAAATAAGCTGTTATTTTATGTTGGTATTCTGTGAGAGCGTGATCCTTCCCCGGTCGAGCCGACCCATTCGTGCTACAACTATACTACCAATATAGCTGCAGCAATACGTCTAAAGAGAGAGGTTGCTCATAGGCTAAGCGCTCGCTGTAATTTTACTGAAAACGAAGCATTCTATCTTAGTCTTCACAGGTGACAATGCATATGCATTTTGATTCGTAGCTGAGGATGGATGTAGATGTCTATGCGCCACAGCGACTACTTACCATCAGGTGGACTGTGTGTTCATTTGTGACCCTTATCCTATAAAAAAAACATATGAAGACGGTAAACACGCATAGAAGTAATCAGCCCTTTTAAATATTATAAGCCAGTGCTTATATACAATTCCACCTGATGGTAAGTGGTGAAATAGTAAAGTGCACTAAGTTAGCTAATCAAAAGTCCGTCGCTCTTATTTAAAATTGCAAGATTCAAATCCAGTTTGTTCACATACTGTTGATTTTACGGCAAGCTTAAGCACTCGTCCCAGAGCTACTACGACTCTAATACAGTGTACAGTATATATAAAGAAATATGAAATTACTTTGCTATCATTTAAGCGAGAGAAGTCGCGCGTGGCATAGTTCAGAGCGTAAGCACTCACCTTGAAATTTTATAATACATGAGCAGACATGGGTTTATCCTCGTTCACATTATTATATGTATTAGTTGAAGATTTATTTGCTGATCTACCACATCATATTCAACTGTTACATATTAAAAAGTTTTCGAGAATATGTGAAGTTTGCCAACATGTATTCGAAAACGCTTTTCATTTTCCCAAAACTTACTTGACCAGTTTTTTATATACCTTACTTCCCTGATTAATCCCTGATGCCATCTTGAAGTAGGCTTCTATATGAATACTTTACAAACCTTCAAAAAAGATTAGCTAGTTTTAACAATCCGTCAAGTCTAATATTACTCTACAAAAATGAAAGAATAGTGTACTTTAGGAATGTGGCTTTTACAAAGTCCAAAAAATATGTTTTCCTGTGATTATAGATACAATTCATTTATTAATTTACAAATTAAAATGAAAATTATTAAAATATGACGAAGTATATAATGCTATATTTAAATTAGTAAATTGGTTTAATGTTAATAGCTTGCATTTAAACGTCTCTAAAACGAAATGTATGAAATTCATGACTCCAAATGTCAAACAATTAAACACTAATGTAATTTTAAATGGGGAGGAACTGAGTCCTCCCCATTTAAAATTCGACAAGTCGATACCACCATTTTTCTTGGAATAACACTAGACCGAAGCTTCAATGGAGCCCCCATATATCAAAATTAGCAATCAGACTTAGTTCTGCAGCACATACTGTAAAAAAGATTAGAAATCTTACCAGTATGGAAACAGCTAGACTTATTTACTTTAGCTATTCCCATAGCATAATGTCGTATGGTATTTTGCTATTGAAACACGCTACTGACACTGAAATTATATTTATTTTACAGAAGAGGGCCATAAGAGCAATTTATTACAGCAAAAGTAGTACGAGTACCAGTTACTCGACTCCACCGAGTCAGTAATTCATTCTTGGGCCGATATATACGATTTTACAACAAAATCCCAGAAAATATACAAAATTTAACCTGCTCAAAGTTCAAAAACTTTATTAAACAAAGTTTGTATAAAAGGGTTATTATAATATTAAGGAATTTATGAATGATAATGACCCCCTTTTTTTTTTTGCGGATGGAAAATCATCAAATGACGCCTTTCGCTCTGGGTGGAGCGGAAGGGAGTGTCAGACTTTTACTGACTAAAAACCATCCGTGTTCCTTCAGTGCCCTTACGTTCCGGACAGCTCTTTGAGGCGCGCGTGGAACAAAACGCGCCGTCGACACGGCCTGTCGTCGTTAGACGGACGGACGGCGAGCTACCCATTGCTCGCCGTCCACAGGCCCGCGCCTACGGTGGCCGGGGGCCACGACGCAGCCCCCGACGCCCGGGGCGTCTCCCGCGGCGGCCGGGAAGGAAAGCTGCTGCTCTCTCCTTCTCCCGCTCCGCCACCTCCTTCGCTAGCATCACTGCTTCGCAGAAGGTGGTGACGGCATCCCATTCCGTCTCGCTCCGGACCATGGCTTCGACCAGG